TTCTCCTTATGCTGTGATTACCACTGTAATAACTAAGCTCCTTTTTCTGAGCCAAAGTGGGTATCTTTAGACTGTCAGGTGGAATTTGGGAGAATCCAGACTGTTCTCTTCTCCATCAAGCAGCCTTGACAGGCTGAAGCCAAGGAAGTTGGATCAAGAGGTACCTAGTGGTTTTATACAGGTTTCACATTCTCTAGGAAAATGGAATTGCTTGCTCCTCAGATGGTTAAGCCCAATCAGTAAAAGCCTCAATTGTTCAACTTTGATCAATATAGCTTTGTCTCCCTGCCACTGCCTGTCAGGTCGTCATCGAAGTGGGTACCAACACCACGGCACTTGGCACAGCACCCATGAGCAAGGCCCTCAAGATGGTTTCAGAGCAGAACATGGTAGAAGAGCAGAAACATGGTAGAAGAGCATGGTAGAAGAGCAGAAACATGAATGGGTCTAATTCTGTGAGCTTGAGTACAAGCTCCTCAGGACAGGAGCTGCCTTTTTCTTTTTGTTCTAAATTTGTCTGCCCATACACAGCAAAAGGATTGGCAGTGAGATCTCTGGTAATGTAAAGACCTTGCAACAACTCTCCATGTTCATATTGCTGCTAACTCGATTCCCAAGAGGCCACTCTTTAGGGCTTCTGTTGAGAGGGAGTTTATTGATAAGAATATGAACATATATGAATCTTTACTTTCCCCAGGAAGCTCTTTTTTCAGTCAACGAGCCATCTAGCATGGCTCTAAATAAGACAGAGGGATGAGCAGTGATAAATTATAAAGCCTCTGGACTGTGATCTCAGCATCTTATGGGTAGGGAGAAGTCACATTATCCTGAATAAAAATAAGTCAATAAAGACATGAAATAAAACTAAGATGAGCTCAAAAGCAGGCACTGGCTACCATGTCTAATCTACCTTACTGGATCTTTTTCTTGGCTGTGTTAGTTTTTATCTTTGTGCATGGTACAAAGAAAACAGAGCACCTGCTAACATACCTAGCCATAGATGGGTAGGCTGCCTGGGGTAGCCTGCACACACTATGTCAGTGTGATAAATGATACATGGTCCTGTGCTTGGACCTTCTCCAGACTGTGGTGCAGCTACTGGATATTCGAGGTTATTGTATTCCGTGAGGAAAATATTATCTATGCCTTTGTGAACCATGGATCAGGCAGGTTATGATTTAATATTAAGGAGACTGAAACAATAGGGTACCACCCACTATTTGTACAAAGAGCCTGGATTTTATCCCTTTTAAGAGATGAGAGACTACAGCATATTGCCTAGTGAAGAATTTCTAATGCTGACATCTGCTAACTCATACAATTTATAAAGGACATCATCAATACTCATCCCCACTCTAACTGAACAAATCCCAGTTTCCTGACAAATCCAGTTCAGAGTGCTGCTACAGTGTTTGCCATGGATTACCATCACAAACAGGGACGGCAAAAGTCATAGGGCACAGCGGGCTTAACAAGCCTGCACCTATGTCCTGAATCACAGGAAAGGGATCAGACTATGAGCAGGGAGGGATGTGTTGGCCTGCTGGAAGCTGCAGGTCAGCAATCCCAGAAAAGTGCTCTGCTGCCTGGAGCTGAAGAGCTAATCATAGAATCATCGAATCATAGAATCAGCCAGGTTGGAAAGGATCTCTGAGATCATCAAGTCCAACCTTTGATCCACTACCACCGTGGTTACTAATGAAGCTGTGTGTGCTCCCAGGCAATGTCTATTAAATTATCCATAACTATTTAGACCAGGTTACCAACGTCCTACAGAACAGTAGCCTGTCAGATAAGAAAGAAAAGGGTCTGGGTGACTCTCTCCACCTGCTCTGCCAAAATGCAATCAGTCAATCATCTGAAGAGGAATGGAAGAGGAGAGCAAGGACTTGCATCATTCCAAAGAATGTCATTCCTACTTTCAGCAAATTAAAGCTGATCTGTATTGTCATTTGCCATTGGAATTACTAAGGTTTTTTTCCCTTCACCTGCCTTCCTCCTAAGATGTCAGTGCTACAGTCACACTTTAACTATCTCCCAGGCTTAGGTGAGGGTTTTTTCCTGGGGCGGCTTCAGGGCTTGGGGACTTACAGTTGATGTGAGAAAAATGCCTGGTTCAACTGTTCACTGAAGGACCAGCAAAGGAAGGAACATAGCATTTTATAAATAATTTTTTTTAACTTCCCAGATAGGCAGATGAGTAGGCTATGATCACAGAATTTAAATGAACATGCATTCCTGCCTTCTCTGCATAAGTAGCAGCACTGCTTTCCCTTTGCATTTGTATCTTCCACTTCACAGCCAACAAGAAATAAATCATTTCTGTGGTCTTAACTCGGGTAATTAGCCAACAAACACTATTGACTAAGTCAATGAATGAAAGAAACAGTGGACAAAGTTGCTAATGAACTCCTTGAGGAGAGTGCACAGTGAGAAAGTAATTTGGCCCTCCCGCCCCCCAGTATGGGTTTAATTTCACTACCTGTCCATTGAAAATCTCCCACACAAGCTCAATAACACTCTGTCTTCCAGTTCTGCAGTCACGAGTTTAACCGTGAAAAAAATCAGAGAGAGATATATTTTAAAAAACCTTTACAATGATCTAAAATAGCTCTTTGATGCATAGCAGATGTCTTCAAAACTTGCATAAACGGAGCCAAAATGCCTTGCAGTTTTGGAAAAGGGAGATTCCAAGATAAGATGCGTTTCCAACTGCAGCAGCTCTGGAATAGATATGGAATTTATATTAATTGTCAACCTCAAGGAAAACACTTTAAAGTGTTAAAGGCCTTTAAAGTGTTAAAGGCCTTCACTCTCCCATTTTGGGACAAGTGTCTCACTGGGCTACATGCTGCTCAAAGACCTGATATCTGCCTGAAAGCAGTTCCTCTGTATCTGTAAAAGACAGCACATGGATTCAGGTGGGGAAAAAGAGAGAGAACAACAGTCAGTGAGACAGTGAGGTGGCAGACTGAGGACTGCCTGCCCTTCACTGTAACCCCTAGTTCATTACAAAGGGGGTGCTTGGCAGGCTTCACTGTAGGGAGGAAGACTGAGGAGAGGTTGGAAGGAAGTCAGTGAGATGGTGCTGAGGGAAGCTCTGAAACACACAGTATGGGAGAAAAAATGTGAAGGGACATGCTGGAAAACTGAACAACAAATCCAGGCAATCTGACTCTGGAGTTAAAGTGGGGATGGGGTTCTCCAGTTCTGTTGCTCACCAGACAGGATAGCCAAAATGAAGATTTGTTCTGAGGAGACTTTTATAAAAAGGAGAAAAGAAGTCTGTATCTGATATAATGGAGTAGGTGGTACAATTGAAAAAAAAATCACAAAGCAGCAACAGCCAAAGTGATGAGTCAGGACAAGAATCTTCTTACTGCTTTGAACAATGTATCTCATGTGTACCAGGTCTTAGTTTTCATGAAGATTTAAGCTAGCATCCTTGGAACACCCTTAACTCAGACAATATTAGGTTGTGCTCATAGAATAGCTAGGGAATATCTTCTACTTGAATACAAGAGATAGAGAACTGAAAGACTGATGCAGCAGTAAGATGGAAGATTTGATCAGAAATAAAACTTAGGAACAGAAATAACAGAGGTAAAAGGTTCCATATACATATTTAAAGGTGAAAAAAATAGGATCCATTTTCCTATAAATGCAAATGGCACCATCATGCTTAACGCTGAAAAAAGCAGAAGAGGAAAGTCAGGTAGTGATGGAACACAGAGGAGTACTGTTCCTCTCATCAGCTCTGCTCCTTCCACATCTTTCTGGCATTCTTTCCCCATCTTCCTTCTTTTGACATTGCAAGAAATGGGCCAGAAATACAAACTGCATATCTGCCTTTCATATGCGTGAAACTTCAGAAGGACTTTGGGTTAGCTGAAGGGACAAGACAGGAAATCTGAGTAACCCCAACCTGAACCACAAGTTCCAAATCCAAGGCGTTCCGGATGCAGCCCTAGGATTAAGGTCTCTTCCAACGTGTCATTCTACCTTTCTCTCTCAGACCTTCTTTCTGCAACACTCTCCTCTTTTCTGGCTGCTGAACTGCAGTAGGTACTTGACTATCTGTAGCACATGCAGAATGTTTGTACTCTGCCTGCCTCAAATCCTCTTTAACCCTTTACAATATATGGGAGTATCACAGGATACCATTCACATGCAGCTAATCAATGCTTTCCCCATGCATTTCAGATGAAAGAATATCTGACAGCAAAAGAAATCAGCTAAAGATTTCTCTCCTCAAAGTACATGAAGCAGAGGAAGAGAAACCCACCTCTCGTTCTCATCATACTGATAAATCTTCAGGGGGTGAGGTTTCCTTGCAACCCAAGCTGCTAACCCCAGAGAGTCTTGACTACTGAAAGGATATTCTCCTTCCAAGCTTGTTATGCCCTTGAGCATGGAAGGCACAGTTAGATAGCAGAACAAAGATGGTGAGTTGTCCTTTATTCTGTCTCCATCCTGCTCTTCACTCACCTTGAAGATCAAATGCCTTCTTTACTCACCTCACAAGACACAAGACAACTGTCTGCCAAAGTGGAGCGTAATATGAAATCATCTGTGCCACTGTTTGTCTCTCTCTTTTAAGGCAAATCAGTAGGAAGCAAACTCTTTTATGTAGTATCTCAACAGAAATCCTTTCCCCTCGGTCTGGCACCAGGAGCATTTATTTTGTCTCCACCACTGTGCTGTGCATTACCAGCAGTAGAGACTGGGACAACTCAATGAAGACCAAAGCTAAATAGAATTACGGGTCCAGTTCTGTAGAGCATCTACTGAAGTAATTTCATTTGTTCACTTGGAAAACCTGTTTATTGTGCCTGGGAAATCACACCTCAAAACAAGTTATGAAGTGCATTTAAGATTCTTGCCACTTTTCTACAGCTGCCTGTATTGCTAATGAAATTTTCTTTTGATGCTGGAAGAGAAGGAAACTACTGAACAGTTCACAAATCATCAGCACAGTCAAGTCCAGTTGGATCTCTTACCTGTTGGGGTGAGGTGCCTCCAGGTGATGACAGGTTCAGGACGCCCATTTGCCAAGCAAACCAGGGTCACGTTGCTGCCCTCATTCACGGTGATGTCTGAGGAGATATTGGAGATCTTTGGTGGAACTGTGAAGACAAAAGAAAGTTGGACATTGTTAGAAGAAGTATTATGGAGGGCAGCCTTTCTGGCTTATTAAACTATTAAGCAGAGTCCTGTCACAGGTTGCACTCCTCATTACTACCTGGGTTTCTAAAATCACATCAGAATAGTATGTACCGCTGTTTCAAGTTCTGCAGTTCGAAATGGCCTTTGCTGTAACTGCAATGCTTTGTGTTTGAACAGGTTAGGAGGTCTTCATAAAACCACCTTTAAGAACATGCCTGCCTGTCCCAAGGCTGCATGGAAGGAGCCAGGAGGCTCCAAGCACCATCCCAGCTCATTTTTACACTCCAAACAGTCCCAGACAGAGTTCTACATCCTCCTGCAGAATGCAAGGCCTCAAGGCACTGACTCAGAGGGTGTAGTAGTTACTGCTACCTCCCACGGGCAGATAGGACCCATGCTGCTAGCCAGCATACTGCTCTTCTGTTCACATAACCAAATGCTCACTGGGAACTGAACTAGAGAGTCAATAAGCATCTTCCTGTAGAGTCTGTGCAATGGCATGAGAAGCAAGGATGTGCGCCATAGCTAATGGGAATTTCTACAATGGGAACAGCAGGAAGGTTTCTGTGGCATCTTTCAGCCAATAGAGATGCCCCATGGGCTACCTGCAGTAGGTAGCTTCTGGATGACTGCACCTCACACAGCACAGCACCAAAAGCACAGTAGGGTCTCTAAAATTCACTAGACCAGCCATTGCTTGGGCATTCAGGATCCCTAAAGACCTTCCAAGCTAGCTGAGTTTGTGTCACAGGACCAGAGTGACCATGCTGGGACCTGAACACATCCAGATGTGGAGTATGTCAGCTGTTGCAGTCTCTCCTCTCTCATATCCATGTCTTGCTTCCATGCTTCAAACTCCAGAGGTAGTGAGGGAGTTTGACTAAAAAGGAATCTTCTAATTTTTTTTAAAATATATTTTCAGCTTCCAAATTTGTGTGTAGCGAGGAATGAAACAACATCATTTTCTGCTTTGCTTACCACAGAGTAAACAGACAACAGCCTCCCCTTCCCCCTCCCTGGCAGTAGTGCCTGATGGTCCTTTTGAGGCAAAGCCTATAAGCTAGGTGGGGAAAAGGAAATGAAGCCTGAAGAGAGCAACTCACTACTTCCAGCTGTGTTGCTGGATTCATAGGAATGTTGTTTACAACCCACAGCTCACTATACCCTCTCTCACTGGACCCATGGAAAACACTTTAGCATCTATGACCATGGGACTACCTTGGAGAAAGAGGACCTATCGAAAAGAAGTGAGACAGGCATGTACTTGCTGACACTTTCACTCATCCTGACAAGGAGGGATTTAAGCCAGGTACACTGGGGAAGGATTGCCATAACCTGTGGAGAAGTGAGAGTGCAGAGGGCAGTGAGGAATCAGTTGAGGGTCAGCACAACAGGGACACATGGGTCACTGGCAAACACAGGTAAGCAGAACCCAGGAGTAAAACCAGTGGCTAGACCACAATTTGGGAATATTATCATAACCTCAAAGGGTTAAGATTTGCATGAGGGAAAAAAAAGCTGTTCAGCAAACCAAGAAGGACTAAGCTCAATCAGCATTACCAGATGGAGCTGTAAGCCAGTGTGAAGTCCTAGCAGAATGGTGCAATGCCAGCCAAGGTTGAGGAGAGAGCAGCAAAAGCCACCACAGGGCAGCAGCAGAGCTGCAGTTAGGACATGTGTAATCTGCCACTTCCCAAAGCCATCAAGACATTTTAGTTCGCGCAGGATCAAGTAAACTCAGCAAATACAGATCTGACCATGCCTACCAAATGCCCAAGGGGAGGAGCATGTGTCCAGATGGTCATATCTTGCTTGTCACTTTTTCAGAGAAGGGAGAAAAGGGTATCCAAGGCTGAAATTCTGTTAGGAATATAATGGCTGGTTCCTTTCAGCTGACACCTTGGTCAGAGGGCATGGAAAGGCTGAAAGAAGGGGGAATAGGGCAAGAAATAATTTCCCTGTAAATTTAAAACCTGGTTTGGCTTCATCTGCTTAGAATCCAAAGCCAGTGGACAATAATTTCACTCAGATAAAAAGTCAGAGACTTTTAATTTTCAGGGTGTCAAGCCAGCATGTTAAAATGCCAAAACTGTCAGCACCAGCAACAGTTAGTATTGCCTCCTTGGCACTTGTCATTACTTTGCACACACCTTTTTAGGACAGCCTTAAATGAGAGGTTTTGACCTTATTATTTTTTCCCATGTGTGGGTTGTGTTATGCTTTCACAGGTTCTAGACTGCTGGAAGAAGGATTGCTGAGAATGGAATCTCCTGGGGCCAGGATCTTCTGGGTGTCAGAGCCTCCTTTTGCCCAGCCATCTCCTGTTGACCCTCAACTGCAACACTCTTCTGTGTCTGGCCTCTCTGAACCATTAGCAGAGGCAAAACCACTGGCTGCAGGCCCACAACAGGACAAGTACTACAGCTGAACAGTGCTTCCAAGCATTTTTATATTCTGACTTTTTCCTCCAGGAGAGACCAGGCTGCCGCTGGACCCCTCTGGCTCCAAAGACCATGGGAAATGAATGCCAGGGTCTCTGGTACTGCTGAAAAAGATGAAATTGCCAGATTTTTTCCTCCCTTTCTGTGTAAATATAATATGGGGTATCCATTACACTGTGCTTAGGATCCCCCTGGATGATGAGGGGAGCAGAGACAGACATAAAAGCAAGCACTGCTTCATCCCCAGAGAGAAAGAATGCTCCACCCACACCAGGGACTGATTCTGAAAAGAAGGAAATGAATGCTGAGAAAAATGGCTTGAAACTCACGTATTTGTTTCTTCTACATTTCACATCTATAGGATAAAGCTAATGCCAGGTCAGCATCTCATCTTCCAAATCACTGACAGTAAATAACAAGCCCCAAAGTAACAAGTGGCCGTTTGCCGTAAGAAGCTTGGACTGGAAGAGCAGGAGAGCTGCAAGGCAGGAGTGACACAAGGGCAGAGATACTGTAGGGTGTTCTGGGTTGGGAAGGCTGCAGGGTAGGAGGGGTGCAAGGTGAGAACCAGTGTGGGAATTCAAGTCCCAAGCAAGATGCAGTGAGGGAGCTAGGTAGGACAGGCTTCTGCAGAAACAGCTCTCACTGAGCCTGTTCTAGTTAATTGCCGTCAATCCTTCACTTCCTGACAACTGCAACTCACATTAATTTAAATAATAAGAAAGACTGAGACATGAAAAATAGAGCATGCTTCCCCAGCACAATCACTGTTGCTCTCCAGATGAAAGCAAGTGATTTGTTTCCACAAAAACACCCGCTATAGCAGTTATTACAGACCTGGGGCTGCATACGGGAGGCAGCAAGGAAACCACAAACAAGAGAATACACAAACATCTGCTGTTGTTATCCTTGCCTTTTATGACCAAAGCCCTTCACAGCTCAAAACTCCTCCTGAGATATTTACCTGGGAAGGTGTGGGGCAGGCTGGATCAACATTATAATTCAAGGCTATGGAAGGAGGCAAGGAGTAGCGCTACACCCCGTTTCCTAATTTAGTTTACACTGGAACTGGTCATGCCGCAGCTCCCAAACAGTTCAAATACTTGCGTTTTGATCAAAACATTTAAGCACAGCACAGGCACAAAGTGGGTTGAATAGGAACCACTGCTTTGCACAAGAGGTACTTATGTGCAAGGGGTACTTAAAGGCCCCCGGCAGCAGTTTCTGGCTCCTGCACTGATGGCACTCCGCTTTCATGTACTAAGATCTTAGTACAGGAGGAGTACTGGTTTGAGAGACAAGGGCAGGAAGCACAGGACGAGGAACTCAAATCAGGTATGGTAGAATAAAAAATGGAAACAGAGGAGATCTAGTTGGAAGACAGCTCGAGCCCTGTAATGCACACACAAGAAATTAACAGTCAGATATTCCGACTGTTCCCTATGGGCAAACAGAACTTTGCGTAAGACCCTTAAGTGCAGCCTTCTACAGTGGGGCATCTACTCCCCAGTCTGAAATTACAAGACTGCTTAACAGCCAAGTATTTTGTCAGTAAGTCACAAAATACATTTAAAAAATACGTTTCTTATTCCCACTCAACAGACTTATGATACAGCAAAAGCTATTTAATACCTCCAAGACACAGATGCAAACAGTATTGAAATTTCCTAAAAAACCCCATAAGCTTCATTTAAGTGCTCTGCTTGTCCCAAGAAGGGCACCTTGGATACAAATGGAAAAAGTCACTGCAATCCCTTCCATATATCCTCATTAGTTGCTTCCTCCAGCCTATTTCCTTCCTCTCTATTGGCAAGTAGGACCCCCATCTGTTGGAGAAAATTAAGACTCACATCCAGTAATACACAGGAGCCCCTGGCTCTCAGGGCAAAAAAAGAAAACATCAGGACTTCACTCCAAAGTCAAAGGAACTTTGCAGCCACTAAAGCCCTCCGCAGGTGCCTATCAATTAGCCTCGAGAGTTCTCATTTCCTTGTCCCCAGCTCCCAATTAACAGCACTTTGCAACAAATGCAAAGACGCTAATAAGCCCCAAGGCAGAGGTAGGGGGGACTCTGCCCATCATATGCCCCTTGAATGCTCTGGAGCAGCCACCTTGCTCACCACAATTAGGGGTCCTTTCCTGGGGCAATTAATTGACAGCAAATTGGCCTCATTAGTCATTGTTTAGTTACAGCGTTTAGGGGGGAAGAGAGGACCTGAAGACGGGGCTGAGCTGCTAAACACAACTAAATGGTTTAATTTCCCTCTTATGTGTACAGCAGGCTAATCACAGCTCCTTACGGATGTAACAAGAAACAGCTTGTTGAAGCTAAAGTCCGCAAAGGGAGCAAGCTGAGGACTGGAAAGTAAAATCCAGACACCCTTTGGGATGCGGCATGCTAATGTTTCTGAAAGCATTTTGCAGAAGAAACGCGACATGAGACCCAAGATGTGTTTTTTACGGTCTGATTCACGCTGCAGTCTCAGCCAGAGGGAGATGAAGCTGTCACCAGGGCGAGA